CTGAGGGCAGCCGCTTCCCGGGCCGGGCCGGGCCCCGCCGCCGCCGCCGCCGCGGCCCCCTCCGGCCCGCCCCTTGTCGCAGAGCTCGGGCTGGGCGGCTGGCGGGGGCGCCGGAGGGGGGGCGGGGGCTCGCCGCCGGGCCCCCTCCTCCTCCTCGTCGTTGTCGTCGTCCTCGCCTCCTCCTCCTCCGGCGGTTCGGCTCTGGGGGGCTGCGGCTGCCCACCGCACCCCGCCCCGCCCCGCCCCAGGCCGGGCCTGGCCTGTCGCCGAGACGGTAAGCGCGCCTGCGGGGCTCTCGGCGGGGGGCGGGGGGACGGCGGGCTCGGACCCCGGGGTCAGACTGGTGAGGAGAGGCGGAGGGCGGGGGCCGGCCCGAACCCTCCCTTTCCCCTCGGGCCTCGGCGGGCGCCGATGTCCCGGAGGGGGAGGCGAGGCCGGGCCACGCCGAGGGGGAGGGTCGCCCCGGCTTTGGGGGAGGGGGCTCCGAAGCCAGCCCAGGCCTCCTTTGGCGGGGGAGGGGGGCGGGGGGGACGACCCACGAAGGAAACCGGCCCTGTCCTCACCACCCGTACCCCCACCTTGCACCCCCCCACCCCCGGCTGGGGGCCTTGGGGATGTCTTAATGAAGGTGTGTCCTCCTCTAGGGGACGGGGTCGAGGTCTCCCCCCCCAGTTGTAGGCTTCAGGGCCCTTTCCCTCTCGTGGTCCCCCTCCCCTTTCTCCCCTGTCGCTGCCCGTGTGTCTGTAGGAAGGGAGAATGCATCGGATTTGCTTGGATCCGTAGCCAATTCATTTCCCTCCCCCAACCCCCAGGGGCTGTACCCCTCTTTTGGAAGGGGAGCAGAAGGATGTCTCCCCCACCCCCCACCCCATTCTCTGTACTGCAATGCTGCAGAAGTCCTAGGCTGCTTCTCCATACACAGATCCGTGTCTACACTGAAGGGAGGGGGAGCTGGGAGAGGGAGGTAATGGCGCTTCCCTTGGAGAGGTTACTCCTGCCTTTTAATCGATAACTGGGTGCCCCCCCCCCCCTTTCCCCTAGATCTGCCGTGGGGAAGTATGCCTGTGATGGGGCTCCCAGTGCAGAGACGTTAGGGCCAGTGAGGCCGGGCTCCCGTGTCAGGGCAGTTCTGCCGTTTGTCTCTTATTTATTGTTTTTAGTATGAGATTGACGTCTTTGTGAGCAGGTTGGATTTGAGGCATAAATTCGAATGAGACAGCTTTGTCGTTTCCTCCCCCCAGTAAGAATGACTGACTTTTTTTGTACTTAACAAGAAATTCTCCAAGACTTTAGATTTCAGGGTGACTTGAGGTGTTGGGTGTTTGTTCCTTCCTGGTGATTTTTTTTTGGGGGGGGTAACTGAGTCTGTAAATTATAGAAAGATGGGAAAATTTACATAAGAGTAATCCATGTCAGAAATTATGTTTCTGCCGTGAGTGCCTGTTTTTAGGAATAGCATTTACATGTCAGTTTGTCTAATTAAAATACCCTGTAAGGTCAGCTTTATTCCATATAAGAGGTTGAATTTCCTTTTTTTTCCTTTTGTTTGTTAATTTTTTTTTAAACAAACTATCTTTAATCCAGTTTTTCTGTAACACTTGTTGGTTGGCCTACTCTTGTGTATTGCCCTCCATAGACCAGACATTTATTTTTAAAAGGCAAAATTAACTTTCTTAAAAACTTCTTTTGCCCAGAAAGCTTCATTGATTAATAATAATTAGTCTTGAATGTTATGGCTGGTAATCTTTTCCCCAGCCTCAGAAGTGTTGATATTTTTGACATTTTCATATCTCCTGAATATTAAGGGCTAGGATATTTGAAAAATAGCATTCCAAGAGGAGTAAACACATAATACACCCTCCTTTGAAAACTGCTAGAATTAAAAAAAAAAGATTTCCTCTGGATATCAAGGAGTTAGTGAATTATTAATGCACATATTTAATTGTATCATTTTATTAGGAATATGGTTCTTTTAGCTTGTTTCAAGTGTTTTTAAGTTTGGGAATCATTTACTTTCAAGGTCTCTAAAATGCTACCTATAGTTAGTGTTATATCTTACAAAATGTTCACGACCAGCAAAATTTGTGGTATTTTAAATATCTTGATGTGTGTTGTGTTTTGCAGTGTGAAAGCTTTTTTAAGGCAATGGAATATCAGGATGTTGTTGGCAAAGTTGATAGTAACCAGGTGGTAGTCAGAAGCCAACTTGTTTTGACAGTGATCCTCATTTGTTGCATCAAGTGGCTCCATCCCCTAGATGTATTGATTCTACTAGGCTTTGCTTTTAGTTGGTTTGGCTGTCTGAAGGCCAAAAATAATTAATTGGTTTTAGTATTTCTATTCTAAGTTCTTGATACCATTGTTCAAGTCAGGTTTCTTGTGTTCCCTTTTTTAAGTAAAAGTTTAGGGCTCTTGGCTCAAAACATGGTACAGGCTGAAAATATGAATGAATAGGTTCAGGGAAGTTTCAGATGGGGAAGGTTACAACATAACTCTTAGTGTTGGTATAAAAGACAAACAAGGCTAGATGAACTATAGGTCTTATGTTCTTAAATAGTTCATGAACAAAATGGCAACGTACATCACTTCCTGCTCTCCACAACTGCTTCTTTTCTCAGAATTCCCTTTTAATGACTTAATTTTTTGGCATTCTGTTATCAAACTCTAATTCAGTTATAATTCTCATGTTGTATAGATGGAAGAAACTGTAAGGATCAACTGAAATCTTAGCAAAATATAGATATCATGAGATTATCTTGAAAGGTCTGAAATATCATTTATATACAAAAGGTTTGGTTTATTTTTAAACTTATACTGAAGTTTTTAAGTTGAAAGAATGTTTAGAAGCAGTCCTGCAGGGTGGAGGACCTATATTGATATCTATAGCATGAATGAGATGAAAATAAAGTGATGGTTGTATTTTCTGTAGTAAGGATTTGGGGAGAACAGTGGACACAACAAAGAATTGTGAATGTGTGTCACTTCTGACAAAGGGTTTAGTTGTGTGTGTGTTTTTAATAAATGTCAAGGCAAGTACGAGGTAGGTCACTGACCCATATTGTAATGTTCTTCCACTGTTAAGGAAACAACTTTTTTGTTCACTACACACCAAAAAAAAGCTGCACATAGTTTCCTCTTGATTCTGCCCTTAACTAGCCACAGAGTATGTAACTCATTTTAAGAATTTATTGATTCTTAGTAAACATTAATATTTAGTAAACCTCATAGTTATAGCTGTCAGTTGTTGAAATGAATAGTTACTGGGAATGTATCAAAATCAACAACATATAAAGATATAATAAAATTTTATTTCTAGGTTGCTTTACTCTTTTGTTTTAACCAGGATCCCTTTTTTATAGCTCTGTGTTTGTCAGAATTCTCTTACAAATGCCCTCAAGTAATTCACTGCAGTATCACTAATTTAAATTTGTAGAAATGAGACATTGTTAAGAGATCTTACAAGTACTTAACTTGGCAGCATAGTTCAGGGTTATACTTGAATAAACCTAACCTCTTCCTTCTGTAAATGTTATGTAGTTCATAGAGTACAACTTTCATAAAATTGAAAATGTTGTAGTATTTCATTAAACAGAATCCTTAGAAGCTGCTAAATCAAAACACATACCTTCAAATTCTTGTACTTGTTTTAGAAGGTCTGATGTATCAGATAGAGTTCGAGGCCTGGAGTCAGGAAGACTTATTTCAGACATTTAGCTGAATGGCTAGCTAAGGGCCCCTGGCAAGTCATTGAAGCCTCATCTTCTTCATCTTTAAAGTGAGAAGATTGAGCTTGGTGACCTTGAAGGTGCTTTCCAGCTCTAATTCTATAAGCCTATGATCATACTTTATTCTAAGTCTTAAGAAAATAAATACTAGTATGATTGATTGAGTGAAGAAAGTATAGACCATTATGATTCAATAACATTCTTCTTGTTGAGTGAACATATTGTAATTTATATTGATGAACTTGAAGTTACATTTTAATTTAAAATTCCTATTACTGTTCTGATTCCAAAGCTTATTTATAAGAATTAGGTTTTTAAGGGTCTAATAATGAAAATATGTACATAAACATACCCACCACTACTTGAGATGACTATTTTTGGGTACTTGTAATGACTATCAACTTAGGCTAAAAGAACCTTTTATGATTATAATTTCCATATCATAGCATTAAGTCATCTAGTACACCTTCCTCATTTTTTTTTCTATTTTACTTTTTATTCTGAACTTAACCGTAAGTTAAAATTCTGAACCAAATAGAATGAGCATTTTCATATCCATTGTGGAACAGAAAAGGATTGTGTATGAAACTGGGAATCCTTAGTATGTAGAGCTTGATTTTCTTTTTGGAGCACTCTCATCTTACAAGTGAGAATACTGAGGTCTAGAGAGATGAATTCAGTTGCCAAAGCTCCTCCAGGTAGTAGTAAGTGGTAGAATTGGGGTTTAAACCAGGCTGCTCTGACTTAAGATGCAGGGCTCTTTCACTTCTGTGTCCTCTCATCTGAGTGATAAACCCCACCCTGAGATCTGATTGGGTATAAATGAGAGGGGGAGTCCCTTTTAAATTATACATGGTGACCTGTTTTTGCCATGCCAAGAATTATGCTTTAAATAAAATGTGTATGTGGAATTCTTATGTCGCCACTTAATCATTACATTTTCCTGTTTTCTTGTTTATTTTTAAAGGTTACCCTTTGGAGATGGGGTAGAGAGAAATGTTTCTTTTGTTAAAAGTAATTTATCTAGAACTTAATAAATATACCCATTATGTTTGCATTTCAAAGACATGAAAGTACAAGAAATCAAGGTTACAATCTCCTGCTTATGGTTCTTTAGTTGAGGACAATGTGATGCAGTGGAAAGTGCTGTATTCCTGGCTGTGCCACTTAGGTGACCTTGGACACCTACTTCACTTTATCTCTCTAGGCTAGGTCTCTTTGAGGACTGGATACACCTCTCATATCCTGTCTGGCCCTAAAATTTATAATCCTAGGATTTGGACTGACGCTAGTCATAGTAAAATACAGGCAATTATCAATTTAAGAGTGAGTTGTATTCCAGAATCCCATTTGTAAGTTTCATTGTGTATTCCTATAGAAACACTTACATGGTAGTGAGGTTTCCAGGATGGTCCACAAATGCCCGCTTTCACTTGTGCTATAGTTGTGTGCTAGTATTAATGATCTTAGTTTTGAGTTTTAGGCTATAATGGTCCATATCCAGTAGGGAGAAGAATATGAAAGCTGAGAACTTCTTTTTCGGGATGTA